TAGAATTAGGAGTGAGTATACCCTGGTTACTGGTTTGGTTCCTGTTCTCCATTAGCCCAGCTAATAGTACAAGCAACATACATGCCTTTACTGAGCCTGTAATTGAGTTTGATGTCTGCTGAAAGCATGTGGATTGAATACATTTACCTGATTTCAGCCAAAAGAAATAGGTGTCTCCTCATTAGGGAATAGATGAATAATGATAAAGTGCTTTTTGGAAGAAGGTTTAAACAGTGTAACATGGGATTATTTGCCCAGAGAGCACTGGTAAGTCGTTTAGAAGTGCTTTTCCATAGACACACAATATCATAAAGGGAGATATGACTCCTAGGCCAGATAATAAGCCTGTTTAATCCAAAATAAACTTGAACTATAGTGTTCTTGCAAGTAAAATTAAATCTGTCACCAGCAACTTCACTCTGCTTCTGTGAAAAAGAAGGCATTTCCCGAGGTTATTCATGGGTTAGGTGAACAAGGAGGGTTAGATTCCACTTGCTGTTCACATCAATTATCCTACGTCAGGGATTTAGGGAAAAACTTGACAACAGCAGTTTGTCACTTTAGTTATCTGCTCTTACCATGCCTTCAGGGTCACACTTTCCTTGCCACCTTACTCATTCATTGTACTTTGCCGTATTGATATCCAAGATTTTATCACTTACCTCTCAGGATACAGAGTTGATATGCATTGGAGGTCAAGTCCATGTGCTCTGAGTATTATTTTCTTATGGCCAATTTTTAAAATGAAAGTTATATTCTGGAGGGCCGGGGGATGTAGGAATCAATGAGAAAATGGCATCTGAGGAGATTGACAGGGTTATAACAGACCTAGTAGCAGAGATGTTGGTGGAAAGACTGATTCCCATCTTTCCTGTTGCCTCTGCTGGGTTCCTACCTCTTGATACAGCGAGGTAAGATTACCTTATATGGTCGATAAGGTAACTCTGTAGATCCCCTGCCTACCTTGCTGCCTGCTGGGGTCCTTTATAACGAAGGTGACCATATATCCTGGTTTATTTGGTACCATCTCAATTTCCCTATTGTCCCAGTACAATTATGAGCACTCCTTTCATTCCTAAAAGAGGCCTAGTTTGAATGATAAGTTATATGGCCACCTACTCATAATCATCTGAGTTGTCTGGTACCCAAGTAAAACCAAAGCCGTATTCCCTTAGCTTATCCCATTTACCATTGAATGCCTCTGGTGAGAAAGTCTTCAAGCCTCTATTCTACTATCAGGTCTTTCAGGTGCCACTTTTAGGGTACTGGTTTGAGCCTGAGAGGCAGACTAGTTGATTAGTTGTTGATTTGTCCCCTCCGTGTCTTCTTATTAGGCGGGGGTGGGGCAGCTAAAACCATTAAGAAAATGCTGTGTCCAGAGGCTAGTAAGTTACCCTTCCTTTCTATATACCTCCTCTTAGAGTTCTTCTGCTGCTGCTCACTTGTACATTCTTCAAAGCCCACTTTTCAAAAGGATTTTCACAATCTTATGGGTTGTTTTTTTTTGCAATTGATTTTGAGGAAAGGTGTTCTAAGGAATGATTCCCTGCTGAGTTGAGATTTTTTTTCCTGAGGTGTCCACTTTATCCAAAAGTGGGTGTGATATTGATATTAAACCATGTTACAAGCTTAGTTTTATAAACTATCTGTCCAGCACCAAAATGCATCTGGAGTAAAAGTTGGCCCCTTAAGTGTATAGATTGGCCCTGAGAAAAGTTTCCAGGAATTGTAGTTTCTCAGGTATATGGTGGGTTGGCCCTAGAATGTCTTTCATGTTGTGAAATAACCTCAACAAAGAAGTTTAAGAGATCTGGATTAGAGGCCAGATTTCATCATTGTCACTGTGATCTTATACAACTAATATACTGTCTTTGTAGAATCATAGAATTTTATTGCTGGAAAAGACTAATGGTCATCTAATTGAAGCCTTTAATTTTACATACAGGGACAGAGAGGAGCAAAGAGGTAAAGTGATTTGCCAAGTAGTTTACAACTAGTAAGTAGTATAGTCAGGATTAAAATCTGAATCTGTCTTCTGATCTGGTCTCTCAGTAGGGGAAGTCATTAGGTTCTGCATTTATAAAGTACTTTAATCAAGTAAAGTGTTTTTTTTTTAAAATATTTCACCAGTGTATATCAAATCGTCACATTGTACACCTTCAATCTGTATCATTTTATTTATTTATTTTTAATGTTTTATTTATTTCTAGGAGAGAGAGACAGAGAGAGAGAGAGAGAGAGAGAGAGAGACAGCGTGAGCAGGGGAGGGTCAGAGAGAGAGAGGGAGTCACAGACTCCGAAACAGTCTCCAGGCTCTGAGCTGGCAGTCAGCACAGAGCCCAACGCGGGGCTCGAACCCATGAACCGCAAGATCATGACCTAAGCGAAAGTCGGACGCTTAACCGACTAAGCCACCCAGGCGCCCCTCAAGTAAAGTGTTAAACTCTTTAAGTGGCTTCTTCTGCCACTACATTATATCTGCAGTTTCATTGTCCCTGAACATGGTTGGTTTGATTAAGTTCGCAGGTGCTCATTATTTACAAGATGAGTCAGGTTGGAGGGAGACTCATTGGCCAAGTCTCCAGTTTTAATTCATTTAAAAAAATGTTTTATTTATTTTTGAGAGAGAAGACAAGCAGAGAAGGGGCAGAGAGAGCAGAGCACAGATGATCTGAAGGGGGCTTTGCGCTGACAGCCTCGAGCCCAATGCAGGACTCAAACTTGTGAACCATGATATGATCTGAGCCAAAGTCTGACCCTCAACCGACTGAGCCACCCAGGCACCCCTCTCCAGTTTTAATTCTTAGCCTGCCTATGCTTTCGTACTTTGGAGAGTCTATTTCCTTCCAAGAACATTACTCAGGAGGAGGAATTTTTTGTAAATTCAGGTGCCTGTCATCTTGTTATACAACTTCTCTCATTCTGAATTTCCATTCAAGTCTTGTATCTAAATTTCAATTGTATCTTTTGTGTTACTTCTTAAAGCAAGTACTAATTGGAGCCTTTGAGGATTGTTTTTTTTTTAATAGATGTCTTAACCATGTTCGATGGTTTATTGCAGATATCACTGACTGCCATAGATGGCGAAAGCTTGTGCTTTTGCCTTAGACACACTGTCAAGAAGTAGCTGAAATTTGCGTATTTGGTAACCAGTTTCAAGCAGCCCTCAAGTCTCAGGGTTGATATCTCTGTTTATACCTGCTTGTGGGTGGGTGTTGTGTGCCTTCCTAAAGGGACTAAAAAACATTGGACCTGCATTGGTTCAACCTTTTTAGAATTGCCCGAGAAGAGAAAAGAAGCTTTATTATGTTGTTAAGCTGCTTGTGCAGGGAGTTTTGCAAGAGTCAGGCAGTGTTCTTATTTTTAAAAACTAAAACATCAGAAGCTACTCAGAATAAATGAGGAGTGTGATATCATCCGGAGAGCATATTGTCCAGGTTAGCTCTGTATGCAGAAGTGAGACTGGACATGATCTGTGGTCTGCGAGTACTTTACAGTGCATCATACTTATTTAATAACTTCTTTGTAAATCCTTGCTGTGGTTGAGCCCCAAGAATCTGTTCTTACTCTTCTCCTAGCTATTTGAGGAGCTTTTTATTTGACATTTCACTAATTCCATACTTTACTATTGAGAACTTCCTGTTGAATCATGCAAGTCAACAGAATAGGGCACTTAGAAGACAGGCTTCACACTTATTCCCAGGTTTGTAAAATATCATGCATTAATTATAGGAAATTCAGAAAATAAAGAGGCACTTAAAGGAAGTATACCACCTACTGAGGATGACCATTTTTGACATATGGGATATATTTTAGCCTTTTTTGATGCATACATACCTATTTAATTTTTTTAAAAAATTTTTATGTCGTTATTTTGAGAGAGAGCGAGCAGGGGAGGAGCAGAGAGAGGGAGACCCAGAATTCGAGGCAGGCTCCAGGCTCTGAGCTGTCAGCAAAAGCCGTGGCTTTTCTTAAAAAATTGGAAGATTGGGGCACCTAAGTGGCTCAGTCGGTTGAGTATCTGACCTCGGTTCAGGTCATGATCTCACGGTTCGTGGGTTCGAGCCCTGTGTCGGGCTCTGTGCTGACAGCTAGCTTAGAGCCTGGAGCCTGCTTTGGATTCTGTGTCTCCCTGTCTCTCTGACCCTCCCCTGCTCAGGCTGCCTTTCTCTCTTTCTCAGAAATAAATAAAACATTAAAAAATTTTTTTTAAAAATTGGAAAATTGGGCAACCTTGAGCCTGCGTCTCTCTATGGCAGTAACTGGGTGGAGCTGAGAGTGTCTTGTTCCTTAAAAAAGGTTGTATATCGTCAGTCTGCCCTTTACTCTGACAGGTTTCACTCATGTGCTTTGCTTCTTGGCCGTGTTATATTTGAGAAGCTGAATTGGGGGCGCCTGGGTGGCTCAGTCGGTAAGCGTCGACTTGGGCTCAGGTCATGATCTCACAGCTCGTGAGTTCAAGCCCTGCATCTGGCTCTGTGCTGACAGCTGAGAGCCTGGAGCCTGCTTCAGATTCGGTGTCTCCCTCTCTCTCTGCCTTTCCCCACTCATACTTGCTTTGTCTCTCAAAAATAAATAAACATTAAAGAAAAAAAAGAGAGAGAAGCTGAATTGTATCATGGTAGAGAGCCCCGGTTCTGGAGCCACGTTACCTGCATTCAGATCCCAACTCCTACTCTTGATTGCTGTGTAACTTTAGGTTATTTAGCTTTTCTGCAGTTTTATCTGGATAATAAAGGTAACAACAATACACCTATTTCATGAGATTGTTAAAAGGATTAGAAGAGCCCTACACATTGGTTTTTAACATCATGCATCAGTCATTTGGGAAAATACTAGTTCACTGAGTTATGCAAATTTTCCAAATCTTGACACATTTTATTATATATTTTAAGAAATCATATTTGTTAACATTACCACCAACCTCATCAGAAAAGTCCTTCAAGTATTAGGAAGTAGTCAAGCTCACTGTGGTGAATACAAGTTGTTTTTGTTTATTTTTAAATATGGAATGTTTCATGAATATGTGTGTCATCCTTGCACAGGGGCCATGCTAATCTTCCCTGTATTGTTCCATTTTAGTGTATGTGCTGCTGAAGCAAGCACTGAGTACAAGTTTTCCAAAAATCTTGTTTTCATCGAGAGCTTGAACTTTATCATTGGCTACAAATGCTGCCAGTTGTTTTCCTTGAAATGACAAGCTTTTTGTGTTCATTTTTGAGAAAATATCTGCCGGACACCCAGAATAGTCATAGTTCCTCAGTTTTTCTCAAGTATATGGTGTTTAATGAAAAAAGCAGCCCATTCTGCTCATAATGCAAACTGTTACACACATGCTTTTCTACAAAATAACCATTGTTCTTTGGTGTGGAGTGGAAGTGTTTTATGTATACTTTCCATTTCATTATACATAGTATTAAGAAGTATACTCTGGTTGAAATTTGGTAAAATTATTTCCACAGCTTTGGGGCACCTGGGTGGCTCAGTACGTTAAGTGTCCGACTCTTGATCTTGGCTCAGGTCGTGATCTCACGGTGCGGTTCGTGGGGTTGAGCCCCACATTGGGTTTTGCACTGACAGTGCAGAGCCTGCTTGGGAGTCTCTCTCTTCTCTCCCTCTGCCCCTCCCCAGCTTGTGTGTGCTCTCTTCTCTCTCTTTCTTTCAAAATAAATAAACTTAAAAAAATTATCTTCAGAGCTTTATCAAGGACGTTCCTAAGTTAAATTGACATTTTTTTTTTTTTTTTTTTACTGCAAGTCTGTGGCAGTTAAGGATACACCGATGACTCGTACTTTGCCGTACTGCCTTGATTAGCACTAAGGCACCAGTAATTTTACAAACCACCATGCTTTTGCACCATCAGTACAATGTCAGTACAGTGAAAAAGGCAAATAATATTTGACTGTTATTGTGAAAATAGTTTTGACTTTGTAGACTTCCTGGAATTCATGGAACATATTCTATTTTTTGCCTTTATTATAATTCATGTAGTGCAACCATTGAGATATTTTTTTTCTTAGAATATAATCTTAGAAATAGGATTCTAGTTTAAAGGGTATGAACTTTTTATATATTTATAAAATATACTTAATATATATTGGTCCTCCAAGATGGTTGAACTAACTTATTCATACTTGTACCAGTTTATTATGAGACTGCGTCATGGCTGTTGCTGGGCATCATTTAATCTTTGCCAATTCAGTCAGTATGTGAAAAATAGTATCATTTAAAAAACTTATTACTACTTCAGTTCACATATGACTGGCCTTGATTATTAGTGAGGCTGAATATTTTTATCTTAAGTTGTGACCATTTTGTAGTCTTTCTGTAGACTGATTACAGCACAACTGATTAGTTTGCAACTTCCGTTGTTAATATAGTCACATTCTCCTAATGCCTTTTGAGATTAATCTCTAGTTATCCTGTTTGCATTTGGGTTTGTATCAAATCTTAGCCTCCCATTTAGTGCCCCTCTCATGGAGGCAGATAGTAAAGGTATCTGATAACTATTTTCTAAATTTCAGAAGTTTGTGCCCTTTTTGACTTTTGTCATAATTTAAGGGGTATCACCTTGCTATTAACATTTTTTTCTAAGTTGACTCCTTAAGATAATACTTGAAACTATATTACTATAATATCTATCAAATCATAAGATTTATGTGCTTTTTTTCCCTAGTACACCTTAATGTACATACTTGTTAAAAAATAATTCTCTGCTGTCTGAAATTATTCAGTGGCCTCTGCTGGCCACACTTTAGGAAGAGCAGGAGCTTTGGAATCAGACATCCTCAATTTGAATTCCACTATACCTCTGACTAATGGTGTGTTCTGGGATAGGTGACTTTACGTCTTTGTGCCTCAGTTCCTTTCCTGGCAAATTGGGGATGTTGGAGAAAATGATCTCTTAAGTGTCATCCAACTCCATTCTGTGATTCTGGTGTAAGATATTTGTAGATTCCTCTCTCTGTTTCTGCTCAGGAATTAGAGGCATTGTCTAGGGATTAGTGTGCTAGTTTAGGATTTTAAAACCTTAGCTCTGTTAAGCTCTACTGCTACTGGTCACTTTATTTTACAGAAACCATTTAATATGACCCTAGCTGTCTAGTTAGGGTGTTACTACTACTGTAATTCCTGCTTCCCATTCAATGTGAAAGTGCTTCATTCAAAGCTTCCATCATTGAGGCAAGTCAGTGCCTCGCTTTCCACGTATTTAAAATGGGGATAATGTTTCTGCCCTACTTAACCTAATTGGAGATGTAGAGAAATGAGGTAATACGTAGATCAGTGGACTCAGCTTCCAGAACAAGAGTAGTAGGTAGGGGCAGGGTATCGGCAGAAGTTAATCCTAACAGATGTTATCCCCTCCTGTGGCTACTTCTACAGTGGAGAGCAACACTCCTCATCTCTCCATATGCACCTTCACCTGCCATTAGACTTTTTTTCTCCCTGATTTGGGAAGTGCCGTTGGACCCCAGTTTTGTGACCTTGGGGAAATCACCCAATCTTAACTTATCCCTGGGCTAAATGAAGCCTGCACTGAGGCCTGCATTCAGCCTACAAAATCAGGTTGCTTGCTTTTCTTGAAAAATTGGAGGATCAGGCAACCTTTAGTTTACATTTCTGCATGGCAATAACTGGCTGGAGCTGAATAGTGTCTTGTTCTTTAAAAAGGGTTATATATATCCAATCTGCCCTTTATTCTGGCAGGGTTTATTCATGGGCTTTGCTGCTTGGCCCATGTTGTATTTGAGAAGCTGAATTGTATCATGGTAAGGAGCCCTAGCTCTGGAGCCAGATTACCTGGATTCAGATCCCAACTCCTACTCTTGATTGCTGTGTAACTTCAGGTTATGTAGCTTTTCTGTAGTTTTATCTGGATAATAAGGACAACAATACTTATTTTATAGGGCATTTAAGAGCATTAGAAGAGATACTACATGCAAAACTGTTAGGGTAGTCCCTGGCCCAGAGTAAATTGAGCTGAAGTTAGCTTTTGGTGGAGTTCAAGCAGTATATAAAAGGCTAACATTTCTGTAGCTCATACTATATACCAGGCAATGGGCCAAGCTGTCCACACAGCTCTATCTCATTAATCCTAACATAACACTATAAAAACAGGTAGAGTTATTTTCTCAATTTTGCAGATAAGACGATACAGCTGAGAGAGGTTAAGTAACCTGCGCGGAGGCACACCGCTAGTCAGTGGTAGCAACATTGAGAGTTGAACCTATGCACTTGTATTCTAAGCTTGTGGTCTTGAATGCTGTGCTGCCTCACGCTGCATCTGCCTTTAAGATAGGTCTAATTATAGAAGTGGCAGGCATGGGTAAATGGTGATTAGTGCTTTTAATGTTTTTGTAAGTGATTTGAGGAGGGTATGCATATCAATATCCCAAATTTATATATGAGATTTATATATAAATATCCTTCAGGTAGCGAAATGCGAAACCAGTAAGGATAAACTGCAGGCAACTTTTTTCGTCTTGTTGGAGTGAGTGAGCAGAACAGTGATAACTGACTTTCCTCAAAATAGGTAAATATAAACTAGTTCATGAAGAAAAGTAATGGACTGCTTGATGTACTTCAAGATATTCAGTAAGGACTTGAGAGTCACGTTAGTCTATTATTTGAAGGTCAAAAAGGCCAGCAAACATTTCAAACCCATTAGAATAGCTCTTACTTAAAATTAAAATAAGAGAAAACAAAAAAAACAACAGGTGTTGGTGAGGTTGTAGAAAAGTTGGAAGTCTTGTGCATTACTAGTGGGAAGGTAAAATGGTACAGCCACTGTGGAAAACAATATGGTAGCTTCTCAGAAAAGTAAACATGGAATTGACATATGATCAGGAATTTCATTTATGGGTGTAAACCCCAAAGAATTAAAAGCAGGGAATTGAACAGATACTTGTACACTCCTTTCATAATAGCATTATTCACTAAAGCCAAAAAATGGGAGCAAGCTACCACCCTTAAGTGGTATATACATAAAATAGAATATTATTCAGCCTTAAAAAGGAAATTCTGACACATGCCACAATGTGGATGAACCTTGAAGACATTATGGTGAAATAAGCCAATCATAAAAGGACAGCTTTTGTATGAGTCCATTTACATGAGGTACCTAGAATAATCAAATTCATAGAGACAGAAATGATGTCTCTGGAGTTAGAATCATGGTTGCCAGGGGGAGGAGGGAAGCAGGAATGGAGAATTCTTATTTAGTGGGTACCAACTTCAGTTTGGGAAGATGAAAACGTTCTCGAGATGGATGGTGGTGATGGCTGCCCAATAATGTAAAAATGTGAATGTATTTAATGGCACAAAACTCTACACTTAAAAATGGTTTAAGGGGGGAAAAAGCCAGCAAAATGGTAGGCACCTCTAGGAAAAAAAATTGGAGACAAAATGGAAAATACTTTTCTTCTGTGTAATGAATGTTGTAGGGCAGACTCACTCGAAATTCTCAGTAGCGGTCCTGCCTCTGCACTTTAGTAGGGAGGGATACAACTTGGTTTTAGGCTCCAGGCCTAGCTCCTTGGATTATTAGCAAGTCATTATGTCTCTCTGATTCTCATCTAGAAGAAGGGTTATGTAATCTTTACCTCACAAGCAAAGATGTTTGTGAATGAACTTCTATACAAATGCTAATTATTTTCAACTTTGGAAAAATAGCAAACCAGACTTTATTTCCCACTCACTGAGGTGGCTGGGCTGTGTGGCACTCGGGCTCTGCCTCTGTGTCTCCGCATCGGCTCTTAGAGCCCCGGAGAGGGATAGTCCATACTCTTGAGAGGTTTGGCTTCACAAAGCAGCGATTACATTATGCACACTGAAAAGAAGGAACAAATAGGCTGAAGAAAAGAAAGCTAGGCTGAATTATTTTCCTTTAGTCTTTGCAAATTAAAAACAAAAACAAGAAAACAACTGCAGCAAAACATAAAAGTATATTAAGTAAAATTGCTGTTTCTGAGAAGTAACCTCTATTAGCCATTTTGCATCTGCGCTTCCATGTACAAATTTGTGTATATTTTTCTTTTATTAAAATGTATCGGGACACCTGGCTCAGTCGGTAGAGCATGCGACTCTTCATCTTGGGGTTGTGAGTT